GGTTCTCCAGAGAAGTTCCCCGCGTACGCCAAAGATAAATAGAAATGTCCCCGTGCGAGATCCACGTTCCGCGGATGCCAGGAGCATCCTGGACATCGCGCGACGTCGTCGGGGTCCGGTTTCACGGTTTCGAGTCTCGTAAACTTCACGCTTGATCACGGCGTAGCGTGCACGCACCGTAAACGATCGCTTCCATTGCTTGGTCCTCGTCGAGATCTCGGGCGTGAAACCATCGGCTCGGAAACTTGGAAACGTGCCAGGCGATTTCTTCGCGTGGATCCTGCGGGGACTGTGCACCAGCCGGAAATGACGTCAGGGTCTCCCGTAAACTTCTTCGAAAAGTCAATTCTAAATTAATCAGAAGCTTGAACGACTTTTCATGGACGAAGTTAATTAACGAGTAATGAAGGAAATGGGAATTGAATAATTTCAAACTGGAGAAAAATTTGTTTCGGTAATTAAATAAGGGTGAGACACGTGAAACATGACAATGAAATATTATCAAAGATATTGATAATTTGAAAAAAAATTGTAGAATTGAAGTATATTAAGGGGCACACTTTTTGGTTCAAATTAATTTGCAGTTCCATTAAAAAAAAAAAAGTGATTAATATACGTGGGAAGCGGGCATGATTAAAGGAATCGCGGACACGGACAATCGAATCTTCTCGATGTATTTACCGGCTGATCGGCGCGTGCCGGCAGGCATAGGTGCGCGTGCGTGTATATGAGCGTTGACGTACCGCGACCGGGCAGGTAAAAACGCTAACCCAAACATGCCGAATTTAGGAAACGATTAGGAACACGGACAATCGAACCTTCTCGGTGTATTTACCGGTTGATCGGCACGTGCCGGCAGGCATAAGTGTGCGTGCGTCTATGTGAGCATTAGCTCCGAGAATATTCTAACGTAACGCGGACGGGCAGGCAAAAACGCTAGCCCGAACATACCGCGTTTAGAAAAAATGTCGGGAACGTTTGGGCTGGGCGAGGATAAAAGCACGTGCCCGTGACACGAGAAGTCAGTCTGGAAGTAACTACGATACGCTACGATCCGAATACGCCACGATACGATACGATACGATACGATACGATCAGGTACGATAAGGCCAGTGTAGGCCCTACGAACTAGTTTTACTCGTCGTGTTATCTCTGTAACTAGCGGAATAGATACTTAATAAAACCCTATTCCTACATATATGTATATAAATTAAATTACGACTAAAAGCGTGCATCCTAAAATATTTCAATTCTTCTCGTTAATATTTTCAATAATATTTGTTATTTTGTATATGTTTAATAACATTCGTATCTTGAATATTTTTCACATTTTCAACTGTCACGCTTCAAATATCTCACCCTGTATAGCAGTATCTATCAATTGGTATCTCGGATATTCGTGGAATTCGAGAAATCAATTCCTCGTAAATTGGGATATTTAAATTGTACGAATTATTCGTGAAAAAGCGGACTCGAGGAAGAGAATCGCAAACTTTTCCACCGCTGTCCACGAATAGCCATGCTACGTACGGAAGTACTGAAACACTGGGGGAAAAAAAACTAGGACACGTTGGAATGATCGATCGACAATTTTCGAAGGAACAAACCGCGGGGCCTTGGCGTCGTTTCGAGCTAGTCGAAATCGAAATAAGCCAACTGGCGGTGTGTCTTTCTTCTTTTCTGTTTCGCTGTACCAGAAGCGCAGTCAGGTAACTCATCAACCATACAAACCGAAAGGCAGAGAGAATGTAAGGAAGAAAATGTTGGATAAAGGGAGAGAAAGGGAGTGAGAAAGGAGGGGAGAGGAAGAGAAAAACAAACATTAGCATTATTATACGAAAAACCACTGGGAAGTTGAGAAAAGAAACGCCACGAAATTCCATTATATTACCATTTTACGGACCTCGTCTGAGCTTCCAAATTCTTAAATTTGAAGAAAAAAGGAAAAAATTTCCTCAACCATTTTCTTCAAATTAATTATACATATACGTTATTTTAATTGAATTCCTTAAACCCTTTCTACCATTTCATTTCTGGCCGTTGCTCGTAATATTCGAACAATTACCATTTTAATTACCATTTCTTTTTAAACCTCTTTGCAACATTAACGAAACTCCCTCAAGATTTCATGAAAACTTTTGCACCGACGTGTAAAGGCTCTAATTTAATAAAGAGACGAGCGCAGCCCTGATATATTAACGCGAACACGATAACGTGATACCGAGAGGACGGCCGAGAGAATATTTCAGGCTTTATCGTTTCCATGGACGTCGTTAACGCGAGAAAAAGACGATCCGGTAGACGAGGCGGGGAAAAATGACGAAACACCGATATAAATTACGTCTAAGCGTGATTAAAGGCACGAATCTTCCTGTGCCTTTATCCACAAGTGATTGGTGCATTTTTACAGACTATCACGCCGCGATTTATATCCTCATCGGCCGGCGATCGTTAATCGATATGATTTATATGCTGTTGTAGCGCCGCTCGATTCGTAACACACAGAGCGGTTTGCACATAGAAGAAGACGACGATTCGTGGTCGCCATTCGGGACGACAGGTTCGCTTAATCGAGCCACGGTGAGCGTATCGTTTATCGTAACTTGATTTGTAATCCTCTTTTCTTTTTTTTTTTCTTCTTTCGTGCCCGCTTTAGACGTCTTTAGCTCCTTGCCTTATCAATCAACCGGAGAAGCACTTATGCGCGGCTTCAATTATGCTCCTTAAACGGATTCCTCGGTGAAGGGGAATAAAAAGTAATGGGAATATTGTTTTCTTTTGTTGCTTTGTGCAGGGTATCCGGCAGAATGTAGTGCCAAGGTGTAATTATATCTGGGTGAAAGTACCTACAGTGGAAATTGTTCGAACGTTTCCTTTTGGTGAACATTGATTTCGAAGATTTACTCGCGTATTAACGAATATAATTTAATTTAATTTTAATGCTAATTAATTATCAATCTTCGTAAAGGATTATTAGCGAAGTAAATATAACGATGAAATGTATCGTGGAAATTTCAGAATTGAGTCGTTCGAACATGAAGGATCAAAAGAGAAATTTGCTCGAATGGAGAAAATAGATTTTCAAGATTTACTTGCATCGCGTATTAACGAACACATTTTACCATCGTTTAATTTTAATACTCGTTATTAATTATTCATTTCCGTGAATATCTACGGTGTAACGTAAATTAATAACGTAACAGGTTTTTGCAATAGGGGAATCTGGGGCATAATGTGTTTTCCTGCTAGCAAAAAGTTAGATGGCAAAAAGAATTTTCTACACCGCTAGAAATCTTAATTGAACCTTCCATAATAAGAAAATGAAAGTTTCGTTTCGAAAATATTATTTGGCTCATAGGAAAATTAAAAAAAATTCCTAGTTTTATCTCATAGGTGTGGGTAAACAATGCGTGAAATATAATATAATTACAAAACCTCTATTTCTACAAGGTATTTCCGAACTGGTGGTACAAGCGGTAAGGAAGTGTCTCTACGCGGAAAAATAAGTCGAAAAAAAAAGAAAAGAATAACATGTTTTCTTATCGGGCTTCGTTTCCGAATAAATCGGCGTCGACGATTTACCAAGTACGCGTATACTGGATTATACCGTAGACCAGTCCCTGTTGCCTTTGAATTTATAAACATCGCCAATGTCGTAGCTTGTTATCATTTCTGTGCCAGACTTTCAGTCCTCGTCGTTCGGTCGATATGGCAACATATAGTAATCGCGAGTGCGCCGACATAATTCTCGTGTTTAGTGCTTGTGCCGGTCAGTTATTTTACTAATTACTACAAAGAACGCCATCCAAATCGCCGTCGTCCTGACAGAAGAACAACAGAAGTGCGATATAGTGATATTTGTGTGCCGTAGACGTGAGATCGTGTGTAAATGTACGTGTACTCGGTAGTGTTCAATACTAATTTATTCTGAAACGAAGCCCGATAGGATAAAATGTTATTCTTTTTTCTCGACTTATTTTCGCATGTGGAGTCACCCCTTTGCCGCTTGTACCACCAGTTCGAAAACACTCGGTATTATTGCAAAAATAATGAAGAAAATTATTTTATAGGATTTGGACAAATATTAATTCATTTTAATTTATACTAAGTTACTTTGACTTACATTAACTTGTCTTAATAACTAAATACCTAAACAGTTTTAATTTTTCTTTGGCTTATTTTAACTTATTCATAAATGTATTTTAATTTATTTAATAAACAAAAATCACAAATAAAAGTTTCGTCGCCCACATTCGTGCAAATCTCATGGGCCTACCCATGGCACACGATTCATCGAATCCACTTTTCGTTGGACTTAGAATATATGAAGGATTCGTCACAAAATATGCAAGCCTCTTCTGTATTTAGATACTTGCATTTTTAATTTTTCCTTTTTTCCACTTTCTTGTCCTCTGTTAACTACGCCCCTGGTAAATAATGTAATATGAATCATAAAGGAAAAATATAATATTCTCTTCCAATGATAGCAAAATGGAATTAAGGCTGAAAGACGTTTACCCTATATGTATTTAGATAAAAAGTATACTGTTTTGCCCCAAATAAGGTCATTTATTAAACATTAAATATTTACACTTCAACATGCGATAAGAAATCGGGTAAAATGTCAAAATGCTGTGTTCAGTACTTACCGTAATAGAATGTTTAAATCAAGCTGGTAAAAAACAGTCACTTCGCCAACACAACACTGAAACTTATCGACACGAAATTTTCAAACTTCGCTGCATGAAAAAGTATAATATTCTCTGGTTATCTACGATTGATCTCATAATGACGTGAGATTCGCCGGAATATAGCACCATAAATACATTGGCTGCATATTGCAGCTCTTGTTTTATAAAAACAATGATACCAGGTTTGACCCGCGTACCCGGTTGTGCCCCACATTCCCCTATTTGTCCTACTCTATCAAACAATTATCAGTGAAATTAATTACGTTGATTGATACAATAATAATAAATATCGTACAAATTTCAGAACCGATTTGCTCAAACGAGACAATTTTACCATACACATATTCTCGATTTACACAAAGAATCATTTGCAAGACACCCTGTACATCTCAAACAGAGGGAGATACAGTATTACCCTGTATTACACGTTTAAATAAAAGAGTACTCGCGATTTAGTGGCCATCTAAATATAAAGCGACGTGTAATCCCGCGGTAAAGAATATCGTACTACTCCTTGGGCCTTCCTCCTGTATATTTCAAATTGGTGGAGCGGAAACGTCGCTGGGAAATAGGACGTAGAATATTTCTCTAAAGTGTACCTACTACAAAACGTCTTGAATTCCGTATTGAAACTTTCCTCTTCTAAAACACACCTTTCCTGATATACGCAGTAACATCGTTTCACTTCTCGAAAAACTTTTCGCTAGGTCACATTAGAACGTGAAAGTGGAATTTGTTACCGTGAATACGAATTAACATTTCCTTCACCTTTCCACGTCCAGGTTACCTCATTTCGAAAAGGCAAGGGGTTGATCGTCGACTGGCAACGATAATGTCAGTCGAACGAGTTTATCGATTTAATCGAACTTCGAGTTTGTTCTCCGTAAAAAAAATGGCGCCCACCCATGAACGTTTCAGGACTCAGGTTGAAAATTTTAGACATTTCATGCCAGCAGAATTTGCAATTTACGAAGATATACTTTCCTTTCTGCCGTCTTCCATTCTATCGTAATAAAATATTAAACTCCGAGTTCTGGGAGCTTCTGGAACACACCGTATATCGCGTTTTAATAAAATATGGTAATGTATACAATTTCCAGAATGAATATACAATAATCAATTCAGAATCTCCTACGTGCTACTTTGCATTTTAATAATAACAACAATATTACTCGGAGTAAGAGTAAAATTGCACCGAAGAAAATTCCGAAGCCACGAGAAACCGTAAATTAATAAAATAGTGAAGATAACCTAATAACCTAATTTCAAAGTGAAACACAATATTCAGTGATAGAGTACAACGTTATATTAGATTAAAATTTTACATCGAACCCCGGGTTTTTTTTATTCAAATCCATACGGTGAATTTTTTATTAATCCTTCGCTCGAGACAGCGATCGTAGAGGTAATGGGATCGATCGATCGATCGATCGGCTACGGACAGGTCGTAGCGAAGACACTCGAGGCATAGGTCACAGGAGCCATTATAACCGTAGTTTCCTGTATCGTTCGAATTTCGTGGCCGTTCCAATCTCCCGGTGGTTTTCGAGTGTCCATACACTCGAATATTCACACATACACCGGCACACATGGACACACGTATTCACACATTGGGTAACGATCGATGTCGCATGAAAGTGTTATGCGCAGATCGGCCGGGCTTGGGACTAGAGGGCGACTACCAACACGAGAGAAAGGAAGCCAATGATAAAATAGCGAGACCAAGATTTTTCTTTTGAGAAAAAAGGAAATGATACTTTTTTCCACGGAGACTCGTTCTTTGTCTGTGCGACCTTCAGGGCAACGTTTCGAATTGATGCTCGTACGTGAGAGATGAAATCTGTCGTGGTTTCGGGGGAAGAAATTTGTATGCGACTGACTTTTAGAAATTTTTTTGCGGGTGGTCGTAATAATTTAACCCTTTCGCGACCAATGGGATGCATATGTTCCAGTTGAGCACTCAAAGAGAAGTGAATAACAAATTCTTTGAAACAGTAATTCCATTTCAGTCAATTTCA